TGAATCGCAAAACGTTTTGCAAAATGTTTTTTGAATCAATTCCCAGAAAATACTATATTTGTCGAAATGATTCATGTAATAATTCACAAAACGAATTAGGAAATAAATCCCGGATCATTTCACAAATTGTTCCCCAAATTAATTGGAGTAAAACTACAAATTACCTAAAATAATTCCTGAAATAATCTATGAAATATTTCGCGAAATCATTTAGCAATCTTTTTAAGAAATAATTACTTACTATTGGCCGTAAACGATCAAGGTAGACGAATTGCGCCGGAATCGATTTCTGAATTAATTAGCCTTCTACTTAGTACTTAAGATAACAAAGGTTTAGTAACTTACGGTCGAGGAGGGAATTGATTCGTAAATTATTTCCCAAATTGATTGCTCTCCTTAGCCCTCTCTCGCTCCGTTCTCGATTAGCTTATTGGTGATTTAATTCAGGAATCGGTTCGCGAATTAATTGCTTTCTAGTGTAGCTTCCTCGTCGTGGTTGTGGTTTAAGAAAAGAGGAAACAGGAAATCCAGTGTGGATTCTAGAGCTTATAAGTATAGTGTACCATCAGTCACGTGAAATGCTAGCGCAAAGCCAAAGTATGGTGCAGCGAGGGTGACTTGGCGAAGTGGAACGTGCCCCTCGCACCTGAACTCAATTCAATGGTACACCGACCCGTGAACACGACAGTATCCATCACCATACCTATCATGACCTAGGTAAGGTACCTGACCTGACCTACCTGGCCTGACTGTACACTGATGATGTACATACCCCGTCCCAGTGCCGCCGCCGTCGCGCGCGCGGGCAGCCATTCCTGTACGTGATATCCCTACTAGATCTCCTGCTGCTACTGCGCCAGCTGCACCGTCTGCATGCGCGGGTCGTTGCAGGTAATGATGATGATGCCGTCGTGCCAGTACGCATACTGTTCGCATGGTTGGCCTGTTATTTGTCATGTGGTGCTGCATCGATCTTGCGTAACGATGCTCCCGAACGAACGCTACACATGGCGAACTGTACACAAACACTCTCACACACTGTACGCTGTTCGCTTGGCGCGATGGGAGAATGGGTGGGCATCGGGCAGTAACGCCGACACGAACATCAGGCTCATCATCATCATCATCATCATCATCATCATCACCATCATGGATGTTCATCGCGTCGTTCGTCGAGATGAAGTCATGTCGTCGTGTGGCCCTCCCTGGCGGTAAGGTAACCGGCGACACCGTCTCCGCACTGCACTCTGCAGAGTCTGCCTGCCTGTCTGTCTGCCTGCCTGCCCTTCGACTCCCGCCTCCCACGTTCTCGTGGGCAGAGTTCGTGCTTCTTTCACCCTCCCCATACCAGGTAATCTCTCCTCCTCATCTCAAACAGGACGTGTCACCGTAAAGAAAAGGCGGCAACCCACACCTCCTTAGCGTCTGGCTTACGCAACAGCGTCTGGCTTTACCTATCTTACCGTTTACGCACCAGCGTCTGGCCTGCGAATAGACATGTACCGGGGGATCCAGCATGTGCAGGGACAAGCGCTCTCGGGCCCAGCGAGCTGGAACGATCTGTCCCGGAATGTTATGGCGAGGCGTATGCAGCGTATGGGCGTATGCAAGTGTGATGCACTCGATATGGCAAGATCACCCATAATCTCCCACTGTGCACGCTGGAGAAACATTTCCCTTCTGGATGCTGGTCTCTCTCTCCCCCCTCCACCCCCCTCCACCCCCCCTCCCCCGTCCCAGTGGCCTCCACCGTCAGCGTGTGTGTGTGCGCGTATGTGCGTGTGTGCGTGTCTGACTGTCGGTGCCTAGCGAGGCAACTCGACCCTAGTCACACGCGAATCTTGGTCGCAATCTCGTACCTATTGGTCGCTTTGGCTTCGTGCTACGAAAAGAGGGCCACGAGAAAATGCGCCATCGCCTGGCCCACCTTCCACTTCCTCCCTCTCGGCTACGCTCCCGCCTTCACCTGTATTGTAGTAGTGCCATGCGATTGATTGCATGTGGTCTGCGTCTTGCATGTTTGGACCAGGACAGGCAATCCAAATTCGTGCTGCCTCTGCTGCCCAGTAGATCCCTCGAATCGCTATATTCGCAGGATCGTGAAAGCCACACTCCTCCACCAAATGAGCCCTTCCAGCTGCGTGGCCTGGAAACCTCTCACGGTCCTGTCAATTACGCCTCTGCAAGCCTCACGGAAGAGCAAGTCGGGAATAGTACGTCTGACCCTGATGCACCCTCCTGGATCGAGAGCGTCGACAACTGCACATGGGCCTGTGAACGATATCTTATTTTTTTTTATATGTTCAACTGCTGGTCATCCCGTCCCACGGCGCTGGTTTGGACAGTCTGTCGTGCTGCATTCGCTTATCTGGGGTCTTTGCTTCCCGTACATCACCGCCTCCTCTCCTGACTGCTGGGTGTGATTGACATGCTCGACATTTGACCAACCATCCCACCAGCGAGAATGACTACTACTACTTCCTCCTCTTCCTCTTCCTCGTGGGCGGGCTATGGGCCCGCCGCACCTGCACCCGCTCCAGTACCATCGACTACCCAGGTACAACGGAGTGGTTCCGGAGACCGACACAAGAAGCCACAGTCCAGACAGCTGCTCTCATGTACAAAATGTCGAGAACGCAAGGTTAAGGTGCGGGAGAGCCTCACTATCTGATATCGAAGAAGAAGAATGATGCATCACTAACATCTGCCGCTGCTGGCTTCACCCCCCCTAGTGCGATCGAACGAAACCATGCTCTGCCTGCTGTGCGCGAGGGCACCCCAAGGAGTGCGAGTTCGTCGTCGGCGAGGGCAATGACTACAGCCCCATCCAGCAATCATACGAGATCCGCAAGCTCCGGTCGGAGAACCAGCGTCTGAAAGAGAGGCTGCAGGCGGCACGCCTCACGCAGTCTGGCGACGAGGATGACGATGGGTCCTCGTCGGATCGCAAGGTCTCCAAGGGCTCCGCGCGGGCAGCCGCTTCACGACAACGACGGTTCAAAACGGGCGATCGCGTCGACAACCTGTACTTTGGCACTCCGGGGCTGGCGAATATCGTTGCTGATGCGTGTAAATCCCCGAAGCCCAATGAAAAATTCTTTGCTAACCCCTCTCTTTAGTTCGCCAACCTCCAACTGGGAACCCAATCTCTCACACACACGATTCCCCGGGGAAAGGACATTTACGTGCACGATGGGCAACAGTCCATCTACCCGTTCATGAACTTGTGGGGCGGCGGCAGTGGTGCCAAAGACATGGCGCGAGACCTCCTGGCCTCCCACGACGAGATCTACAAGTGGCTGGACGTGTTCCAGAAACGCGCACAGTCATGCTACTTCCCCCATACTCCTGATGAACTGACGAGGCGCGAGGTGGGTCGATTTCTGGAACGGACAGAGGAAAACGCAGAAGCGCATCCGGATATGCTGGCACTCATCTTTACCATGGTCGCAACTGCAATGCAGATGGGCGTGTATGATCAGCACGGGGAGTGGGCACCCGGCGCCGTGGAAGGGTCACGATTCCGGAGTGATGTCTACAGTGAGCATCTGACGACTTGGTTCTGTCTCGATAGAGGAGGCCACGGGCTGACCGGTTGAACAGTCGCGGCAGCAATGCAGGCGCTCCGCCTCGCCTCGTTCATGAACACGCCCACGCTCCTGGGCATACAGGCACTGGTCATGATTGGCCCCTATTTGACCAACAGCGGCAGATTTCTCGATGCCTGGACGCTGTTTGGGACTACGATACGACTGGCACACTCCATCGGCCTCCATCGAGACCCAAAAGTCCTCGAATCGGCACCGCAGCTTCGAGAAAGCATGATTCGACGAACGCTGTGGTGGTGGATGCTACACATGGACCAACAGTATTCCGTGACGCTCGGACGACCGCTCGGCATTTCTGGCATTGGTGATTGCCAGCCTCCTGAACCACTGACGACGAACCCCACGATACTACGGCTCAACGAATTCGTGGACCACTTCACCATCTTGGCCCGGCAGATCCTGAGTAGCGACGGTATGATGAACGTGGGGAGGATCGATGAGTACACAGACAAGCTTCTGGGCCTCTGGGACACCATGCCGGAAGCTTTGCAGTTCAACGAGACGTGGCTACAGCAAGAGACGTTGCTCCCCGATTGGCCTTTGGAAGTCATGTCTACCAGTGAGTGCGCGCCGAGTGCAAGCGTGAGCATGGAGAGAGAGAGAGAAACAGAGATATGGCTAACATTCGATCAGTGCTCTACGCCAAAGTGCAGTCCTTTCTCATCCTTCTCAACCGCCAGCGGCTCGAGCGCACACAGGGAGCACACAGTGAGCCTTCGCCGCCCGGCTCCATGGCACCGCCGCCACGACCGCAGCCCGTGATGACCAGCTCCATGTACGGCGATCAGCCCCTTCACCCTGCACCACTACGGGGAAGATCGCTCGTGGTCAACTCCTCGATTGCGCTGGTCAACGCATTCATGTTTTTCCACTATCGAAGGCCGCAGGTGCTGATCTGCTGGACCATGGCGCAGCAATGCTTCAATGCGTGCATGATCCTCATCCTGGACGCGTGGGAGACGGAGAATGAGAACAACCTGTGGCTGGTCAATCAGGCATTTGCCGTCTTCCAGCAGCTCGACAACAACGGAGTACACAAGCTGGCGGGATTGGCCGTGGCACGAATCTCCACGGGTCTTGCAGTATTGGAGCAACGGCGAAACGAACGCAAGCAACAAGCAGCAGCCAGTCGAGGAGTCTCGGGATATCACCCTCAGCTTCAAATTGACACGGCATCCATGTCGGATTTCCAAAACGACACCGTCATGGGCAACACGGGCATGTTTCTCCTCGAAGACACGGGTCTACAATCGTTTGACCCAATGGCATTTGCGCCCCTCGGCTGGAACATGGCCGGTAGTGCTCATGCTTCTTCACATTCCTCTCACCCGACTACTCCCAACATCCCCTCCCCTATGATCCCCATCAGCCAAGTCACCGCCGCCCCTTTCCCCGTCGTCACCGCGCCGCCCTATCGTTCCGATGGCATGATGTCTGCGCATCTCCCATCATCATATATGCACCATCAACAACAATATTATCGACCTCATCTTCCCACGACAACATCTGGCCCAGGAGGAAGATCCCACCAGGCAGCTTTTACACCTATCAATAATAGCACCAACAACAACATGTCCTTGTCAGCCTCACATCAACAACAATCCTCCTCATCCTCCACTTCCTCCACCTCCACCTCCCTCTCCCACCAACGCCACCAACTCTCTCCCATCGAACAAGCCGTCGTCGTCGCCCAACATCAACAACTTCGCGCCCCTCGACATCATCACAACAGCACCAACAACAGTACCAACAACAGCAATAGTAATAATTCTGGAAGTAATCATCATTATCATTCTTCTACAAAACAAAATTCTCATCATCACATCAGCAGTCCACGGATAGGAAAAAGCGGAGCAGGAGCAGGAGGAGGAGGAGGAGGAGGAGGAGGAGGTTCGAGGGGAATTCTGAGGCCGGAGAGAATTTCTTCTTCGGGGTCGGGGAGGAGTTCGCTGGTGAGGAGGAAGGGGGGTGGGTGATTATCGGTGATGATGATGGGTTGGACTGAGGAGAAGGAAGGAAAGGAAAAGGATGGATGGATGGATCGATGGACGGGTGGAATGTCCAGGGATATAGAGAAAGAAAAGAAGAAGAGGAAAAAGAAAAGAAGAAAAAGGAAAGATGGGAAAAGAAGAAAGATGGCTTGAACAACCTCACGCACGCACGATGATTGTATGATTGATTGTATGAACGATGAACAAGATTCTTTCGAAGATGAGAAAAATCTCTTTTTTGGGGGTTTCTGTTTTCATCATTTTGCTACTGCTGCTGCTATTGCTGGTTTTGATTTCTGCTTAACAGTTTGGGAGTTTGGGCGTTTGGGCGTTTCGAATTCAAGGAAGAAGAATCGCGGCAGGTATAGAGTAAGCTTGGGTTCTTATCCTTTTTGTCGTTTTACTGCCGTCTGTCATTATTGTCATTATTGTTGTCCTATTTTTCTGCATACAACTTGTTAATACTGTTTTCTGCTACTTACTGTTAATACTGCCTTTTTGATTTACAAGAAATCGTTAATACTGCCTTTTTAATCTACAAATTTGTCGATAGATACTGGTTGTTAACTGTATGTTAACTGCTTGCTACGAAGAGAGATTTGTTAATACTACCTACCTACTTATACCTACCTGTACCTACTTTGATGTTTTTGTATTATTTTTTATTTACTACTGCTAAGGCTATTGCTTTCTGTATTACTACTATTTTCACTATTATACATTGTTATATAGTTAGTTACTATATATATTCAGAGGCGAGCGAGCGAGCGAGCGAGCGACTGAGTCGGGTAGGAGGTAGGAGGTAGCTATCTATCTAGATAAATTGATAGACAGATTACGGGAGAGGGAGGGAGAGGGAGGAAGAGAAAATCGATAGCAAAAAGATAGACATACAAACAAATGAACAAACATACAAACCAGACAAGTTTGTTAGGTAGTCTACCTGCCTGCTAAAAAGAATAAATATGTCGTAGGTATCTTATTAATCTTGATTGATCTATACATCTATCAATCCATCAACCCATCCATCAACCCATCAACCCATCAACCAACCTAAGAAATACATATTTCTCAGTAAAAAAAAAAGAAACCAACGCCCACAATCCACCAACGCCACTCAGCACTCATCCCTATCTCATCCACTTTTTCCTTTTCTTTTCTTTTTTTTCTCGCCAATTTTTTCCCCTTCTTTCATCTGATCGGCGTGTACAATATACATATGTCACGTACGTACGTGTACCTTTTATGCAAGATTCTCTTTCTCGAATAACTAGGTGCTTCCCTGTTTGTTGTTTGGATCTAACTTTTTTTTGCTCTAATTCTAGTGACTTTGAGATGCTGACCAATTGGATTGGTAGATCCAACTTTTTTTCTTTTTCTTTTGGTTTTGGATGGATGCTGTGTTGGGTATGTATACGGTGCTGGGTACTGCTGGATAAATTATGGATGGATGGATGGATCCGAGTGAGCTGATCGATGGTGACATGTACGTATAACCATTGGTACCTTGATCTCATAATGAAGCGGTTAGTTAGTTGTTATGCAGCGATTCGCAGTGGAGATTGGTGATGAAACCGCAGTGATGACGAATTAGCGTCGTGCGTGGGAGTGAATTGTTCTTGTTGTTGTCTCTGCATGTCCCGTCTTACTACGAAATATGCAAGCTTGAGGGCTGTTTGTTTCATACTACGGTAGCATTTTCTCCTTGTTACCTTTCTCCTCGAGTGGACGATTCTGCTTCATTATGCTTCCCTTCTCCTCTTGTTGATTGGTCTTGGAGTTCAAGAGCGAGGCGAACTAGAATGACATGGATGAGGGCTAGATTCATCATGAAGCATACACACACATACATGCGAGATTTGGTGGCATGGGCAGCGTGATTGCCACCGTTTCTGTTCAGATGCTGCGCTTACATCGATAGCAGGACAGAATGTTGAAACCACTAATCTGTTTCATCATCAGCCGTTTCAATTGGAATAAAGTTTCTGTCAATGGCCGATCACCGCCTCCATCGATACTCGTGTTGTAAAGACTACCTACCGCATCGGCCGGCTTCTTTCAGCAATTTACTGATATAGTTCCATCTGACATGTGTAATGTGTTTCGGGCGCTGGTTGTGCACGTTTGTGACATGAGGTTAATCGACAGGTGAGACTGCCGAAATGCACTCTCAACCATGATACTCGCCGCCACCAGATCGATGCAATGAGCAATGTGTCGCTGCAATGCATATGGACTGAGGTCTAGACTCCAACTGATATCATGGGCTGGGATTGCGCTGGGATGGCCCTGACAGCTGCAACACTTCTCGCGCTATGATGAGCCGTTTCCATATCTGATCGCTCTGCGGATTGATAGGCCAGAAGTTGGCCCCAACTCTCAAGCTTTTGTGATAGATCGGATAGCTTTTGCAGTAGTCGGCTGCAGCGCTGGAGCGGAGTAATTACTGGTCAGTCGCGCATGAACCGTCAGGCACTGCTCTGCGGGGGGTGGGTTTCTTCGCGTATCCTGTACAAGCTCCCTGCGAAATGAAGACCTGCTGAACTCCTCACAAATCTCCCACAATGGATACAGTACAGTCGCGCGAGAGCAGCCTATAGCGCCCAAGCGGTGAGGTCAAAGACGTCTTGCGGGTCCAAGAGAATGCGATTTCCAGTCTGAGCCTAGCAAGCGCTCGAACGCTCGCACGCTGCTCCACCTGATGATCCCGATCCAGACGGTGGGATGTCAGTGTGGGTGTATCAGGGTAGATGATGCGAAGCCATAGGCTCGTGCCCAGTGCGGTGCAATCATAATGGGGTGTATTTGGGATCTGTAGACGTGATCTCCGCAGGCAGTAGGAGACTAGTAGTAAGTTACAGTAGTCGACTAGTCATCGTCGTCGTCGTCGCTCCACAGACTAGACGGGGGTCAAAGGCAAATCAATAGATGATATGAACGGGCCGTCTGGGGACAAGTGCGTGCTTGCGTGTGGTCGTCAGCGTTCCGGGGTGTATTTGAATATCGCCCTTGCTACGTGTGGCCTTGGCGAGCGACAGTAGATGGGAGAGCAGCAGCAGTTGTCCCGTACAGAGTGAGGCTGCAGTCGTCGTCGTCGTCGTCGATGCCCTCGAGACTACCGCGAAGGGAAAAGGAGGTCAGGGAGGGGAGGTACATGTACCTACAGTAAGAGGTACATACTAGGAGGTAGTTGCTAGGAGGTAGGAGGTAAGGGAAGAAGAGATCCGGTCGGCTAGTTCGGGGTCAAAAATAGATGTAGACGGGAGCCGCCGTCACGGTACAAAGGACGCAGGGGAGGGCCAAGGAAAGGAGGGAGGGAGGGAAGGGAGGAAGGGAGGAAGGGAGGATCGGACCTCACCGTCGTCTTGGCTTCTTGTTTCTTGCACGTGCGGTCATGTCCCGCTCACTCACGGTCGTTGGGTCGGCAGGTACAGTAGGAGGGACACCGGACACCGCCTTACGACGACGTTGTTGTTGTTGTTGTTGTCAGGAGGTCTGCTTGTTCCACGGCAGAATTCTTCTATACCTTACCTCCGTACTGGAGAGATACTTTACCTCCGTAGGTTGATGCGGACCAGTCGGCTGAGCTTGTGGTCCGATCGAACCAGAGATCGTCCGACTGCCGCTGTGCTCTTGCTCCGCTGATACCCTTATCGCCTCAAGAGCACGCGACCTGGCCTGGCACGCACTGGGTGAGGTGAGAGGTACCACCAACCCGTACCCATCGACTTCCGTCAGCTCATCACTATCCGGACCTGCCATGAGCAGACCACCGCCTCCAGACATCGCTCATCAGGTGGATGGTGACGACGACCGCCTGAATCTCTTCGATTTCCTACACTCTGCTGCCGCCAACCACACCCTTGCCATCTCCCGCGATCAATCTATCCCCGAGGACCACCACCTGAACCAGCACCTCCCCGAGAGCCTCCTCCACCAGAACCTCCACCAGCAGCAGCAACTCCGCCACCAGCACCACCCCCAGCACTACCATCAGCAACAGCATCGATCCGCTCGGCAGCCACCGCAGACCACAATCGAATCGGCATCGGCAGACCGAAAGAGACGGCATACCGGCTCAGATCACACGGGCAGGTCTCATCCTCACCCTAGCTATCTGAGCAGAGGCCCAGGCGCAGGCGTCAGCGGTGACTCAGGGCGATCAACTGCTCAGCAGGCGGGGACCAGTGTCGAGCACGCGATAGTCTTGACCTCTTCACCATCACCACCACCACCACCATCTGCACGACCCACGACACAGTTCACACACTCCAGCATGGAAAACAGCAACAGCAATAGCAGCAGCAGCAATAACAACAGAAATATGGGCTCCGCTCAACCACAAACAAGTCAAGACAGCGACGCTCTTCCCCCCCGCTGGCAACCAGACAATGATGTGTCCCAGTGCCCCGTCTGCGACACCGACTTCAGCCTCCTATACCGCAGACATCACTGCCGCAAGTGTGGACGAGTCGTATGCGCACGCTGTTCGCCACACCGTATCACCATCCCCCGACAGTACATTGTGCAGCCGCCCGAGCAGCAGCGCCTGTTTCTGTTCAATGAAGAATCCTCCACCGACCTGAGTGACCCAGCACTCGGCGGTGGTGAGGTTGTTCGTGTCTGTAATCCCTGTGTTCCTGATCCATGGCACCCCGATACATCATCACCACCGCGAGCGCCCCTTCGCCCCACGCCCCGTACTCCGGGGCCAATGTTTTCGGAACCGCCTCGTGCCTCTCCCCTACCACTGCTCACGTCCGCAGATGCCGACCGCTATCTGGCAAACTTGAGGGACCAACGCGATCCGGAGAGATCAATCTCGATGCCATTTGGTGGACGCAACCGCTCTCAAAGTCACCAGCAGGCCAGCGAACGCGAGCAGCGCCGTGGTTCCGACTTTGCACGCTTGCTCCCCATGAATTCCAGTGTGGATCGACATTCGCGCAACCACCTTCACTACTTTCCACAGTACCCACACGCTCACGAAGCCACGTCCCGACAGTCGCACCGGAGTCTGCTGCGAGACCAGCAGGCTCACCTCGATATGTTGAGTCGCCAGCACGATAGCATGAGAATGGCCCGGGCAACGGGCGAGAACTTTGAGCCCCATTGGGAACATCCTCCGCCGAACACAGGGGCCTCGCCAGCGCCGCCGCCGCCGCGACGTCAAGTGGCGGAGGAGGATGAGTGTCCCGTCTGTGGCGAAGAGATGCCGCCAGGGGAAGCCAGTCGCGAGCAGCACGTGGAAGAGTGCATTGCAACACGGATGGCTCCCAGTTCGACCTCCCCGCCACCGGTGCGACCGACAACGACCAACAGCGCTCCCGCAGAAGGCTCCCGACCGCGTGCAGTAAGCTTCCGACCACGCGGTATGGTGAAGAGTGTTGCCACGGAGAAGGACTGTGTGGACGGAGACGGGGAGCCGCGAGAGTGCTCCATCTGTCTCGAGGAATATGAGCCGGGCGTGGAGCTGGGCAGGATGGAGTGCCTATGTCTGTTTCACGCAAAGTGTATTCGGGAGTGGTGGGAGCAGAAGGGCGCAGGAGCCTGTCCAACACCACACTTTGACTAGCATTGAGCAGCGATTTGATGACTACGACGATTCACGAGATACCCGCATTGTATGGCGTTTGGGGCTGCTTCACTTTAGAAGGCCTAATGGGTGTGGCCGCGTTTGCTAAACAGTGCAAGACATGGCAATGAGATTTCATCTTCAAACTCTAGAACAGAATTCTTTGTCCCCGATCACTTTGATCTCCTGACTATCCGAGGCCAGCGAAAGAGTCCTCCCTCTATGATTCTCTGTGTCGTTTCTTACTAATCCGCAAAAGGTCCCGAAACCTGCTACAGTTACGGCAGATAGGTAGGTAGGTCAGGTGAAGCCCCGAAGAAGTGAGGAAAAGTATACATATCGTAGGTATATATACATTCCCTGATGAAGAAGTCGTTTTTCGAGCTACATACATACACTATATATAAGATAGGTACATGTAGGTTAGGTATCCTTTGGTATACTTTGGTAGATCAAAGTAGGTATCTAAAGAGAAAAGAAAAGAAAAGAAAAGAAACGAGGGGCTGTGCTGTGCTGTACTGTGCTGTACTGTGCTGTGCTGGGGCTGTTGAGTAGGTAGGTAGGTAAGTAGGTTAGGTTTGCGGGTTTGCGGGTTTGCGGTAGATGATTGTTATTGTTATTGTATTTGTGTTTGTGTTTGTATTTGTGTGTTTGTGATTGGACTAGGAAATTGGAGGTAAGGAGGTTGGAAGTACTGTAAGATGTAATTTTTGCTTTCGACTGGATAGGCAAGGTAAGGTAAGGTAAGGTAAGGTAAGGTACGAAGAAGGTTTTTCATATTTTTCTTTTTTCTTTTGGAGTGTGGGTTTCTAGTTTGGGATTCTGGTGTTGAAGTGGGAGAGGAGAGGAGAGGAGAGGAGAGGAGAGGTAAGGAGTAGACTGGACTGGAGTGGAGAGGTAATAGGACTATTTTTTTTTTATGTATATCGACATCCACATCGACATCTCTATACTCGTTTACTCGTCTACTTGCATCAGAGAAGCAGGATAGGCAAAGAGAGAAGAGAAAAGAGAAAAGAGAGAAGAAAAAGAAAAAGCTAAAAGTCAGAATCTCCTATTAAGAGCTACAATCCCAAAAAGAAAAAAGGAAACAAGAGGGAAAGAAATAAGAGAAGAGAAAAGAAGTGAAAAGAAGAGAAAAGAAGAATGAATGAATATATACACACAAACACGCGCGCGCGCGAGAGAGAGAGAATACTTATCTAAGAATTACTATCGACTAACTAACTAGCCAAAATAGTCGGCCCTAGCTAGCTACCTTGCTCTAGCTAGCTGTCAAATACCGCTTTCTTTTACCTAATTAATAATTATTGAAGCTGCGGGGTGCTTGTTGATGGATATATATGCATATATAATTTGGTAGTATTATCTTCCTCTAATAGAGCGAGAGAGAGAGGAGAAGAAGAAGAAGAAGAAGAAGAAGAAGAAGAAGAAGAAGAGAGAAAATCTGTTAGTCACTAAGGTAACGCAGGTTAGAGATTCGCCTAGAGAGTAGTTAAGAGAAAATAATATCTTTGTATACCTACCAGGTAGTTAGCTGGCTGGCTAGCGAGTATAGAGAAGAATGAGAAGGGAGAGATAGGGAAAAGAATAAAAGATAGGGAAGAGAGAGGCAGGGAGGAGGATTTTAGAGGGGAGTGCAAGATACGGACTCTACGGGGTACAGGAAACGCAAAGGAGGAGGAAACGAGAAGGACGACAGGAGGGTTGTTTATAGTTAGGTTGGGTACGGTAAGGTAAAGTAAAGTTTCTAGAAGACCTTTTGGAATAAGGGTAAAATGAGATGATTTACCTATCTCATCTATCTAGCTCGTTTGTTCTGGCTCTTTATCATTTTGTCTCTTCGTCTCTTCGTCTCTTCGTCTCTTCGTCTCTTCGTCTCCTCGTCCCCTCTCTCTCTCTCTTTTGCAAGGGTTCTGTCTCCAAGCGAGCCTATAGAGGTACCTACCTACCTATATATCCCTCCCTTCTCAGAAGGGTAAATGTATCTTCTCTTAGGTACCTTGTCCCCTAAACTCCCTACCCTGTTGGAGTGATTGGATTTCCCCGAAATTGTAAAGAAGACGCGCGTAGCGTAGGCCATGGAGAGATTGTTCGATGAAGGAGTGCTGTAGCCTTTCGTTGGTACGTTTCCCTGGAGAAGGAGGGAAGGTAGTAAAGTGCTGTCAGCTGGAAAAGTGCTGTTGGTTGGCAAGAATCGAGATCTTGGGAGGTGGTCTTGGTCGCTTGTAGTCCACGGGACCGTCGATAATGTAGGGAGTACTGGAGTTTCCATCGGCAGGTCTTTCGGAGAGGGGAGGGAGGTAGCTGGGGCGCTGTCAGCTGGCGAGAAATTGTGATCTTTGAGCGGTGGTTCGGAAAGTCTGTAGATCGCTAGATGGTGGACGAGGAGTAGCGTCGTCTTCGTCGGTAGCTCTTCTAGAGAAGGAGGAAGGTAGCTAGGCCGATGTCAGCTAGCGAGAAGTTGCGATCTTTGAGCGGCGGTTGGGAAATCGGGGAGAAGGAGGAGGAAGCTGAGGTCGAAGATGTTTCGACTGGAAGTTTCTCGCGTTTTTCTGTTGGTGACGGCTTGGGGAATCAGGAATGCTGGTCTTCGAGAGCCTGCAAAGTTGTCTCGTACCTGTCCTCTAGACTAGGGTTTCCCGAGCTGGACGAGGATGAAGTGCAGCGTCGTGAGATGTTTTCAGCGCGGTTGAAGGCCTTTGAGATTGATGTCAGCAAGGGGATCTGGTCGCACGCTGGCTTTGTGATTGCACTGGATTTACTTTCTAGCGAACACTTTATGATTGCTACTCGCACCGATTTTTCTCGCGTCTGTTAGATGGTGGATAGTAGTCCTCCATGACGGATCACATAGCCATGTTAGTTTGGAATAGCTTGACCGTCGCGTTTGGCAGCAAAGCAGGCAGGGAGGTAGAAGGGCGGCAGCGACAGGGAGGGACTACGACGGTGAGCACATAGAAGCAAGTAGAGCGCTGGACTAGCTACAAATGAATGGATGTTCAGCAGTGAGAGTGGACTAATATGAGCTCGAGAAATGGCAACAATGTGCTCCATCTAGCTTTGTAGTGGTGTATAGGAGACTAGGTGGGCTTTGGAAGTTCGGGGCCAAAAAAACACGCAAAACCTGTGGGATTTGATTTGTATACTTAAGAAACCAACTTGCTTCCTTTCTTCAACCTTTTTCTCCCCAGCCGCCTTGTTTGAGTTGTACTAACATATTTGTGGTATGTCCTCATCATCACCATCATCACCATCATCACCATCATCATCATCCATCATCATCATCATCATCATCCATCACTATCCATCATCTCCTTTACCTCATCACCTCCATCACCGCCATCCTCTCCCTCCCTCCTCTTTTCTGATCTCCGCTAACATTCCCTCAACAGCAACGCAGAACTTGGCGGCGACCCGGTCTAGCACAGGTGCGAACACCTGTAGCAAGTACGACTTGGTAGTAACAAGCACGACTTGCTGAGCTGTGAAGAATTATCTGAGCTCGCTCCCGACCTGGATGGCGCTACGATGTCGACATTCGACTAGCTCCAGGCAGGTGCTGATCAGATACTGTATTTCGACGCAGAGACTGACAGCGACCAATTTTTGAAACCTACACACTTTTTTCATCATGTCGTGGCCTTTGTGGCTGCTGCTTGGAGAAGACGCCCCCTCTCTCGCTCCCCATCTTGCGTCCCTTTTTTGTTGTTTGTTTCCTATGGCCGCACGCGTTGCTGTGTCCTTGTTGTTGTTATTTATGCCTGTCACCGCGAGCCGGCCATCAACTTAGCTTCTCGGGCAACGACCCCGACACAATTCCACCGTCACCAAAAATCCCCGTCCTAACCATCAGAAATACCATTTCCGCCGTAAGATCACTATCCAATCTGAGACCACGTAGCTGACACATCTTCCAGTCAACTCACACCATGCCTTCTACCGTTATCACCTCCCTGACCACGGTCAAACACCAGACCGCCGGCTTCTCCCACGCGGGACTGATTATAACCAAAATCGCACCTGCCTAGAGTCTGTACTACTCCACGTACACCAACACCCCCCTCGCAGCGCCGTCTATCCGTCGGGGCAATAATCCACCCCGAGATGCTCAGGGGTAACGAAGCAGGCAAAGCCTCCGCGAGGCCAAGCAACAACAACGATTGAGAGCAGCCTCTCCCTCAGTCACGAAAGCGACTAGAGGTCGAGTGCTTCCAGCAGAATTTCGGCCCGTAGGTCTGTTACAGGCGGGGCAACCTCCAAAGGGCTTACTCTCTCCTACTCTGCCCCTTGGCAGACTCCTCGTCGTTATTCATATTCATACCAACAGGGGCCATCTCATCGCGACAAGTAGCATACGACCATCGCGGTAAGTTTTGCATATTCCTAACGATGAGCTCACCGCGCCTGATTAGCCTCTGTTCAGAGTATCTCACATCGTTCAGCACGCGACGGGGAGCCGCGACTTCTAAGCCATTCTTCCCCGACTCGTAGTCACGACATTACAGACTTACTCAAACACTGTAGGACCATAGTTACCCTGAGAATTAGCTACTATGACCGAGCGACAGTTATCACCGCGACTTGACCGCTAGAAAATCTCGTTCAGAGCCTGTCTCCCCGAAACATCGTACCAACCAACCAAACAACCAACCAGCCAGCCATTCCTCCAAACGCAACTCTCGCGTATCCCGAAAACGCAGTATCCGTCGGTCCGTCGACTTAGGGCATGTTGTTCTAGTTAGCTGATACGCGAGTCCCCTACTATGTACCGTCTACTACGACATACAATTCGATCCGTAGAAATCACCGGCTAGCTGAGAAGAACAAGCTAGTTTTGAGGAGAAGCGCGGGATGGAGTGGAAGGGAAAGAAGATGAAGATAATCGATAGATTTGGTAGAAGTAGAAGGAATAGGATAACAAAAAGGATAGCTTGTACAGCTGAGAAAATTTGGAAGGCAGGACTGTGGGGGATAAAGCAGATTCGCTTATTTCCTTACTATATTGACAGGAGTCCGACTTGGGGGAAACCAACAATTGCGCATCATGTCCGCCCCCTTCTGTTTCGAGAGTGTCCTGTTTATGACTTGACCTGTCGGTGTCAACTGCACGATCTTGGTTACCGATTATTGCTCAGAGAGGACAGAGAACAGATTGACAGCACTGATCTGACCCCCTAAAGTCTAGCGTCAAAAGTCCCTTCAGCAACCCGACAGGATGAGTTCCTAAGGACATATCGATCACTGGGGCCCGTCAACAGATCTTACCCAAGCTATCTACAAACAGGAATCGCAAATCGGCCTAGCGAAAAGGGGGCTGCTCTGAGGAAAAGAGGCGACAAGCTACGGTCGGTCCTGATATTTTTTCCATTTTCAGCACGTACACTACATTTGGATCGCATACGTCGTCTCCGGATATGTACGATTCGGAGGACAGTATACGGAAGATACATATAATCATAAGCACGGGGTAGCTCCAAGGAGGTCTGGAGATATATTTCCCATTGTTAGATTGTACTACGGATACACATGGTATATGTGTAATCGACAGCCAAAGATGATATTTCGGGGCAACTATACAATAACAGGAAGTATCAGCACTGCTACGAAAAGGGCATGCATCTATCTGCATAGCTAGCTCCAAGGATAATCCGACACACCATCGGACAGCTGCCGCTACTCGACTACGCTGCCAGTCTGCTACGAGCATATGGATCCCAATTCTCGACTTGACCAAATGCAGCGCAGTATCTGATGCATTCATACGCTCCTCAAAGCTTTCGCCTACAGAACAAAGAGCTTTGATCGCCGTTTTCGAAGATGGACCGAACAAAGCCCGTTTACCCCTTTACTCAATCTCTTTGTTCTCGATCCTTTTGAGTCGTCTCCCTCAATCCGCTTCAAGCTCAGCAGTTCAAACAAGAAGAAGAAGAAGAAGAAGAAGAAATCTTTCCCCAAGTTCAATTCCCTCCTAACAACTCACATCTCCAAGCATAGAAGTAGAATATCGAAAAGCAAAACCAAAATGGCCCCTAAAGCTACTACAGCACCAGCGATCGACTATACTATCGAACCTGATTATCCTAATACCAAAGTCGAAGTCCTTCGAGCTTATGTCCGCCATTTTGAGCTCAATCCTACATCTATGAAACTCCGAGACCATCTTATTCAAGCTCTCCAGAACCATTACAATTCCGCTACCACTACTACTACCGCCGCCACTACCGCCGCCCCTACTACTACAGCAACCGCCACTACCGCCGCCGTCGCCCCTGCTACTACTACCACCGCCACCGCCGCCGCCCCTACTACTACAGCAACAGGAGCAACCCCACCACCACCCGCCAAAAGAGCCGCCTCACCAACCGCCCCCCAACCAGCGACTCCGCCCGCCAAAAAATCCAAAATCTTCTCCAACGACGCCCACTTCCGCCTCAAAGCACTTCTGCAACACGTCAGCCTCCACATCTTAGAAGTCGAAGCGGAGAAAGTTGAAGAGTTGAAGGGTTTGAGTCAGGCGTTTGAGGAGGTTGAGAGGGTTTTGGAGGAGGTTTTGGATGAGGAGTGGGATGGGAAGATGAAGAAGAAGGTGGGAGGGGGAGGGGGAGATGGAGATGAGTCTGATGATTCGGGGTCGGGGTTGGGGTCGAGGTCGGGGTCTGTTGGTTCGGGGTCGGGGTTGGGGTCTCAAGCTGGATCTGTGGCTGGGTCTGTAGCTGGATCTGTAGCTGGAGCTGGATCTGATGGGGAGGTTAGTGATGATGATGGTGGTAATGAGGAGGAGGAGGAGGTGGTGGAGGAGGAGGTGGAGGAGGAAGAAGAAGAGGAGGAGGAGGAGGAGGAAGAAGAAGAAGAGGAGGAGGAGGAGGAGGAAGAAGAAGAAGAAGAGGAGGAGGAGGAGGAGGAGGATGATGATGATGAATGAGCGAAGAGAGTTTCCCCAAGTCGGGGAAGGCGTTTGGAGGGGGGTCGATGGATAGATTGAGAAGTATTTAGTAATGGGTTACAGGGCGAAGAGATCTCAGTCTATAGTATAGTTTTTTTTTTCTTAATAAGATATCGTTTTTCATACAACCTGAATCATTCAATGTGCAATTCATAAATTTCACCCTACCACAACTCTGCACATACGGCTCACATCCATCAGTCCCTTGAGGTAGAGAGGTAGGTAGAATAAGGACAATGTGAGCTCGTTTCTCACATACTCCGCATCCGGCGATTTTGATGACTTGACCAAAGATTCTTTGTCCTGAGAAGCAGGTAGTAATACTGAACCCATAAACACCTCCCCCCATCTCTCCCCCTGGCGCTCACACATACTCTCTCCCTCTCTCCCTCCATCCAAAAAAAAATCAAACCACACAAAAACATCGTCCCCACCGCCAACATGCCTCCCAAAGCCCTCATAAAACCCCCCGCCAAACCCCGAACAAGTTCTCGACTCGCCGAAGCAGCAGCAGCCAAAAAATCCGCTCCAGCCGCTTCATCATCATCATCCTCTTCATCATCCTCTTCATCAAGTCCTCCAGCAGCCCCCAAGTCCAAAACCCCAACGAGACCTACTGTCCCTAAATCCTCTGTCCCCCGCGTTGAATCTATTTTGAGTCATCTGGCTATCTATCGCTCTTCTCTCAATGCGGAAACTGACCCGAAAGGACTTCTTCAACCGGGAATTTTACATCTTGAAGCTGCGCTTGCTGCGCTGAGGAATGTTTTGCCGGTTTTGCCGGGTGGGGGGGATAATCCGTTTAGTCCGGGGGGAAGTCCTTACGGAGGTAGTGGTTCTGGAGGAGGAGGTAGTGGTTCTGGAGGAGGTGGTGGTTCTGGAGGAGGAGGTGGTTCCGGTTCGACGCCTCCTCCGCCGCCAAAGGGGACGGGGGGAGATGTTTTGAAGTTGAAGTTTCCGACTAAGGGAAAACTGCCGCCTTCGCCTCCGCCGAAGGGGAAGGGGAAGGAGCCGGCTGCTACTGCTGCTGGTCCTGCTACTAGCACTGCTACTGGCCCTGCTACTGGTCCTGCTACTGGTCCTGCTACTGGCGCTACTACTGCTGCTGCTGCTGCTACTACTTCCACTACTACTACTACAGCTCCCGCTGCGAAGCCAAAGATCACGCTCACGGGTCCTAGTGGAAAGGGGAAGAAGCGCCCTGCTCCCGGGTCGGATAGTGGTGATGGACAGGGCAGGCCAGCCAAGAAGCACAAGGGTGGAAGTTGATTGACTACCTGTAGCGAATGACGGGAGAGTTAGAAGTATGATGTTGCTAAGATATGGGGGATCTTGTCTTTTTTTTATTTGTGTGATTTGTTGTTTTTGGGCTGGATATGTATCTCTTAATTGCACGTTCTTTATATAGATAGGTAGATTTAATGATGTTTGTTTGTACAGTATACGAGGATTTTTCGTTGCGTTGATACTTTTGGTTGTTGGTTGATATGTCGTTCTTTTTCGGGGGGATGGTCGTGCAATTAGCTTTCGTCCGACGTAAAGTCAATCATTGCTAGAATTAAGTCGTCGCCCTTGGGACTGTCGATGTGCTTGTCCAAATCATGTTCATTGTTCTATGAGTATACAAATGAGCTGTCTCGTAGAAGAACTGACGACATGATTCGTGAAGTGACTAAGTACATGTACCTCTATCCCAAGTGACACAGATCTCAAGCGATTCCTACTCATTCGAGAACATAGAAGACAACCATGTTCCAATGGTATAATCGATCTTCATGACTGTATTCCAATATAGCCCGTGTGTGTGTCCGCGCTTGAGTGCCCTGCCCACGCCGAAAGACTCTTTCACTTTGTCTCCAACCTCAACAGCGATGGGTGCTTTAGCTCTACAATCGACCCCCAGCGGCCTCTAGGCTTTTTCCAAACATCTTAATCCACGCTCGGCCCTGTGCAGTCCGATCGTATCCCTCCAATGTTTCACCGAGCGGTGTTTCAATCGGATCTGCACTGTGCACAGAGGGTCGCGAGTCGCTTCCTCGCTAGAAGTTATAGCGATCAAAGGGTAGCTGCGCGTAGCTGGACGGATAGTAAGGTGTTTGGCAGGTAGGGAATTTTTGACGGACGGCTACAAATTGGCTCCTAGACAAGTGATCAGTGCGCGTTACCCCTTGGCGACCTCTTTTCGATTACTTACTAGCCTGTTCGAGAGCGGTTACGGGCGTAGAGGCACAAATGAGGGAAAGTCGTAGGAGAGCTTCGTCGAGCTTTTGTTGCTGATGCTGTTGGCAGTCTGGTTGCTAGTAGGTCAGTAAGAAGCACCGCTCAGTACTCTTGCGTTTCTATAAGGTCCCAAACTCACCTTCTGCGTTGTCCGACGGCGGAGTCGTCTGGAGTTTCAACCAACAGCCGAGACGTTCAACCCCTACACAGTTAGCTGGCACTTCTAATCTCTATTAGCGTGATTCTCAGCATGACTCTGCCTTCGCGGAATAGCTCGGCTTGGTCATTGACAGGTTCGTGAACAGTACCTCTCTAGTAGCTCTATTAGAGCACCTTCTGGATTCAGTCAAATGTTGCTGCTGTTAGTATCGCAGTTATTACACGGTGCGTGAAACTGAGAGTGAAACAGGGAGAATAGGCTGCAAAATCTTCTTGATTACTTAAGAAGACGCTGTGGTGCTTTGAGAGATATCTCTATCTCTCAGCGCACCACAGCGTCCCCAGGAACATTCCGCTAAATTAATAGTTAGTGTTGCTTCAATAGTACAGTCTGTCAACTTTTGGAGAGAGAACTTACTTGTCATAGAAGTTGAGCCTCGCCTCCTCGCTCTTCTTCTCCCTCTCCTCCTCCTCTTCCACCGCTTTGGTGGTGACTGTGGCATTGTTAGTAAATCTCTTGTGCTAAGCAGGACGGGGATGAAGCTGAGATGCTTACTTGGTGGTGGTGGTGGTGGTGGTGGTGGCGGCGCCGGCGGAGCCTTGGTGGTGGTGGTGGTGGTGATGGTGGTGGTGATGGTGGTGGTGGTGGTGGTGGTGGTGGTGGCGGCGGCGGGGCCAGTGAGGCCCCGCAGGAAGGCGGCGACGCCAATCGCCATTTCTGTACGGTGTTTTGGTTAGCATGTGTGATAGAGATGGGGCTTGGTTGAGGCGGGTCAATAAAACTTACTGCTTGACGTTGTTGACAAGAAGAAGGAGGAAAATCCGCGGGCTTCAGCTTTTATAGCTGCCTGCCAGGATTTTAGGCGCTAGTCTGTAGGCAGAGAGACCGGTGAGCACGTGTACCATTATGGTGAACGTCACGTCAAGAGTCTCTCTTACTGGACTCTCTCTTACTGGACTCCCTGTATTCACTGCCCAGCCACGCCTCCTATAGCACCCATGGTCCAGAGTCCACATCGGTCAACCAGTAGAGAGCACACAGAGCTCCTTTCTGGTTCGACCCCGAACGATGCCCATCCACCGTCGAACGAGCGGCTGATATAGGCAGCGCGAATCTTGCATCCAGGAGCCCTCCTGATCGAACGAAGATGGTGGTCCTCCGTCCCTTACCTCCTCCTCCTCCTCGTCCTCGTCCTCCTCCTCCTCCTCCTCCTCCTCCTCCT